ATGAGAAGTCTGTTTACACAGCCAAAGCTATTTTGGTTTTCAAAATTTTCCATGTGTGTTAGTCACTTTCATCACCAGGACAAAGTACCCAAAGGGGGAGATGTTTAATTAATTAATTAATTAATTAGTGTATTTTTAGTACAGGGTCTCACTACACAGATCAGACTCGTAGTGATCCTCCTGTTTTCAGCCTCCCAAGCGCTGGGATTACAGGTGCGTGCCACCACGCCTAGTCTCAGTCACTGTTTCATCCTGCCCCTGGGTGCGGTGCCGGCAGGGCATGCTGGGGATCAAACCCTGGTCCTTGCGCCTGCCTAAGCAGGTGCTTTAGTCCGCTGAGCTATCTGGCCAGCCTGAGAGGTTTAGTTTGGTTGATGTTTTCTGCCCATGGCTGCCTAGCTAGAAGGCAGAAGTGGCATAGTGAAGGGTAGAGTAAAGGAAAACTTCCGGGCATGGCATCCAGGAAGTGGGTGGTGAGGAGGGGAGAAGGAGAGGAGGAGGGAGAGGGGAATGGGGAGGGAGAGAGTAAGGAAGAGACAATGAGCCTGCCAGGCCACGCCCCCAGTGGTCCATCTCCAACCAGGCTGTACCTCCTAACAGCGCGGTTAGCTGCTAAACTCATCCATGGACAAGAACACTGATGGATAGTGTACCCCAGGGGCGCAGTCATCCTCCACACACAGGAAATGCTTAGTGGACATTTTAGATCTAAACCTTAATACTACGCTACCCTTGTCTTATTGTCGACGCAGGCAACTGTGTCTCTGTTTCAGGTCGAGCCCGCGGTCCATTGTATGCTCATCTGTGATCACTCTGATCTTTCTGTCTCCACTCTAAGTCTATGCATCTTGTACTTTATTTTTGCTGGAGCAAATGGACACTCATTTTTATTTGTAATAGAGCATGATTTGAAAGGAAGTCCCTAAATATCAATTATGAAGTAGAGACCAAGCAGCCCTGGTATCTTCTAGGAGTCCTAGTTTGAGGTCGTTCGGTAACATCATGAACTTGGTTCTCTTACTCAAGGGGGTCTAGGGAAGTGTCTGCATTGGTAAGACTACTAGTCTTTTAAAATCAATTTGGACCGTTATTAATAACTGTGTGTTGCATTCAATTTGTTTTCACTTATGGAGACACATGAAATTATTTATTACCTTTGTAAAACCAGGGAATTTTAGTCTGGGAGCTGTAGGGGAAAGAAGAAAATTTGATTTTTCAAGGCAACAAGAAAGCATTCTTTCTGTGGTTTCTCACAGAAGTATCTCTAGCTAGAGCAAGAGAAAAGGCAATGAGAGGGCTAGGAAGATAATTAAAAATGAAAAGGAAAATATTGTACATTCATGTTTGAACTCATTGTCAAGTGGTTCAAAAAAGATTTAAGTTTGTAGTTTTCATTTCGCTTACGCAGCTGAATGCTAAGTTTTGTGAAGTTGATAGTAGAGACTATATTGATTTTGTTTGGCTGCTATAATAAAAGTGGTCTGGTTAAAAATCTATAGGAAATTTAAAATTATATTTTCAATGGTATCACAGTGAACAAAACATACTATATTTTTGTTTCATTTGAAGTCTTATGAAATATTTGCCTGGAAAAGAAATCTCTTTCCTTTCTCTATGTATGTTTATGTATTATCGTCAAGATTTCTTTCCCATCTCCTGATTAACCTCCTCACTATATACTTCCATTGGAAAGAGAATAAGATGCTCTGAAAATTGTTTAAAATGAATAAGAAAAAAATGAGAAAGCAATCACTATAATTTTGTAACTGTGTATCTGATTTTACTAATTTGATAAATAACATTCCCATTAATGGGGCTTCCTAAAGCAAATAATAATTATTGTCATTTCACATTGATTCTGTGTTCTTTAAAACATAAAAACAGAAAAAACTTAAAGCATAAAAACCATAAAGGATGACTTGAAGAACAGCACAATATTATATATTTTGACAATTTCCTGACATTATACTGAAAAGAAATGTAGCTTTCTCTGTGAAAATCTTGGGAGAGAGGAAGAAAAATAAATTGCAACAAATGCTTTTCTTTACCTTTGTACACAGTTAACTTTTTTGTTGTAGTTGTCTTTTTGAGTCAGGATCTTGCTATGCAGTTCAGGTTGGGCTTGAACTCACTTTGTAGCCCATGCTGGTCTTGAACTTACAATGATCCTCCTGCCTCAGCCTTCCGAGCGTTGGGATTACAGGTATGCTCCACCACACTTGGCCACAATTAACTTTTAATGATGTTAATTTCTGTTAGAGCGAATTCCCAGATACACAGCTCTTATGATGTGTAAGTGCTTTGCAAATGGATAAACCTAAAGACACCTAGAGAATCTTCACCTTTCTCTTTCCTGAAGAGCACAGCCTTTGAACTGGTTAACTGAGTAAAGCAGAAGGTGCTGTGCAGTGCAGTGTGGACACCACAAGGAGGCTGAGTGGTGTTGGGCTTGCCCTCTCTCTGGCTGGTGCGTGAGCTGGACTTTTGTCTTCTGCCCGTAGTGTCCTAGTTTCCTGGCTTTTGTGACTCACACTGTCCTGGGTCTACACCACTGCTTCTCCAGCTGTGAAGGCTTCAAACTACACTGCCTTTTATACATCATCAGCTTACAGACGGTAGATTGTAAGGCTTTCTCTCATTTTGTCAGTCAATGCTTTTTAATAAATATCTGTTTTTCATCATTATTCCCATTTCTAATTCTAGTTTTTAGCTCAGTTTCAATGGAGAACTATAAGGCAGGAGCCAAATTCTCAACAAATATTAAATAGAAAGAAGGGAAAGGAAAAAAATGTGTGTAGCTTAGGATTCTTATGTTCTAGTAAGTCCTTTGATCCTGTACTGGATTTGTATTGAAGAATACAACATACAAATACATAAAAGGCTAGTAAAAATTTGGGGGTAAAAAGAATTAACATAAAAATTTAAGTTCTCAAACTGTTGATATAAAAATGATCTCATTTTCATTTTGAACGAAAATTCTCAATATGCTATGCTTTTTCAATCTGATGAAGACTTTTAAAGCTTTTATGTAGGAGTACGCCTGAAATGAAGTAAGAGATTTTTCAAATGCCTGAAATGAAGTAAGAGATTTTTTGAACAGGGCGCTATAACAGCACTTTCCTCACCAATGAGACCGTGCTGTAATTTACTGTATTTGAATTAATGTGGAACTGGAATCAGAACAGATCTGTGGAAAAGAGTCTATTAGGAAAACATTGTATCATTGCCTGTAGACGAATTTTGGATGGGTTAAAAATTAAATGTAACAACACAAGTGCCTGTGAAAAATTCTAGAAGACCACAAATCCAAACTAGGGGACTAGACAAGGCAATAGATTTGGAAAAAGTTTTTATGAGCATAGAAAGAAGATTAATATCTGCAGTACACCAATAGTTTTTACAAATCAACAAAGTGATAATTTAATTAAAAATGTGTAAAATATGAAATAGGTAAACTTTAGAAGAGCTAAACCAAAAGAGATCAAACTTCTTCTAGGAAGGCAAATGCAAATTAAACTATGCCCCTCAGACTGACCAAAATGAAAAAGAAAGAAAGCAATACTTTCTGTAGAGGTAAGACCAGACAAGGATACTTTTAGAGGTAGCAAACAAAAGTAGAAATTACTGTAAGATTTTTGCAAAGTAATTTAGTAATGTCCAGCAGAAGAAACAAATACATGACACACTTTGCGCTCATAGTTCTATTCTTAGGAAATTAAGCAGTAGAAATAATTGCACCAATGAAGATTGTGTATAGAATGTTGGCTGTAACATCCTTATTCTTATTATTTTGTATTTTAGGACAGGGTCTACAGGGTGGTCAGGGTCTCATTACTAGATCAGACTCGTAGTGAGTCTCCTGTTTACAGCCTCCCAAGTGCTGGGATTACAGGCACGCGACATCATGCCCAGTCTCAATTCCCGTCTCAGTGTGCCCTGGGGGCGGGGCTGGCACAGCAGGCCCAGGGATCGAACTACCAGCTCTTGCATCTGCCTAAGCAGGTGCTTTAATCTGCTGAGCTATTTGATTTGTAACATTATTGATGATGGCAAAGAATTAGAAACAAAAATGAACATCCACAGCATATTTTGTAGACATTAGAAAGACTAATTAAAACCTTAGCAGGGAGCTCAGAGGGATGCCCGGGAGGTGTTGATAAGTGTGAGAAGCAACATGCTGATACTGTATAATGTCCAAGTTTTGAAATATAAGACCCCTCACTCTAAATATATGTGTTTTGCAAATGCTTGTAGTTTTATTGTCAGAGAAACGCTGTCACCTGTTGAGTGGGTGGTGATGATGATGGTAAAGGAAGATGAAATAGGACAGTAAGAATGCATTCGCTTTCTTGTGCAGCCATTTGGCACACATTTAGAAGTTTCAATGCACGTATTTCTCACACTTGTTCCTGGGCCTGGTGTCCAAGCACACGTTGTTGAAACTCTGCTCAGGATCTTGTGAAGCTGCCCAGTTGGCGCTGGCCGGACTGGGTTTCCTGCTGGAGCTCAGGACCACGAGCTGCTCTCACGTCATTGTTGGCGACTTCCTTCTCTCGCAGCTGTGTGGCTGAAGGCTCTGCCTTCGGAGTGGCCAGCATCCTGAGGCCACTGGCAGTACCTTGTCACACGGGGCTCTTCATCAACAGCTGGAATGAAATGCAGTTGTAGGAGTGACATTCTGTCCCATCGCCTTAACTATATGCTATGTCCTGTTGGTTAGAATAAAGTTGTGGTTCCCTCAAACCAAGGGCAGATTATTTAGAGATCATGGATCACTCAGGGTCCAAAGTGGTGTGTGTGTGTGTGTGTGTGTGACAGTCAAGTATATAAGGAAAATAAATATTCCCCAAACACCAAAGTTAGATTGAAAACAGAAATTACCAACATGATTCTATGATATTAAATCACATATATGTATTACATACTTTCAAAAATGAAAGATATTAGAAAAAAACAGAAAAGTACTTCCGAGTCTCAGGCCATCCGTCTTGGGCATTGATCAGGTTGTTGAGATCACTAGCCAGCACTGTACACTGTGATAGGACCAAGTAATTCCTTGAGTTCCTTGTGACGCATGTCCTTTCAAGTTTAGTTTCTTTTCTTCAAGCTTTGCTCCTGAATTTCATCCATTTTAATGCAGTGTCAATTGTCAAAGGGCCACTATTTTATATATATATACTTCACAGGGGAAGAAAAAAGAACTCTAGTTAAATTACGAGCTATATAAAAGTTTAAAGATAAAGGGCCTGCCAAATAGCTCAGTGGACTAAAGTGCCTGTTTAGGCAGAGTGCGGTGTCTGAGGTTCCATCCCTGCCGTGCCTTGCTGGCCCCGCCCCCGGGGCACGCTGAGACTGAGACAATGATTGAAACTGGCTGCGGTGGCTCGCACCTGTAATCCCAGCGCTTCGGAGGCTGAAAACAAGAGAATCACTATGCGTCAAACCTACATGATGAGACCCTGTAGACCCTGAAGACCCTGTGCTAAATACATGAAAAAAAGTTTAAAGATGTTACATTGAGGAATATATTAATCTTAGATTTGATAAAAATGATTTGGGTGCATTTATTCCCAAGAAAACTTCCTCTGGGGTGCCTGCTGGAGGCCCGTAGAGCCCAGTCAGTCATTTCCTTCTTCTTAGTTATCATTTTCCTCACACCCTTCTACTTCCTAAAGTGTACCTGAAGACTAACAATAATCAGATTTAAGCCAAACAAGAGGAAGATGTTTTTAAGAGCAAGGTTTTCTGAAGTCAGATCAATGCTTCTAGGGCACTGGGTGTCTACTTCCAGGTTAAAAAAGAAAACTTAAAATATAATAAATGATTTTTTAAAATTTTGTCATCAATATTTGTGACATATGATGACTACAATCCACTGTGGGGTATTGGTTCATGTATGAATCGTATCCTGATTCTTTTCACTTCCCCCCTCTTCATCTCCAGATCTCCTTCTCATTTCCAACGAATCTAACTCCCTATTTCCTATCATCTTTCGTTTTGCTTTTAAAATTCTTTTTTTTTTTTTTTTGGTACCAAAGATTGAACTCAGGACCTTGCACTTGACAGGCAGGTGCTTAAGCTGCTGAGCTATGTCCCCCGCCCCCTTAAAGTTCTTTATACTCTCTGTTTCCCGTATAAGAGAAACCAGATAATACTAATCCCCCGGGTTTGATTTATTTCACTTGGCATTATGAATGCAGTGTTCATCTATTTTCCTGCAAGTGACCCCAATTTACCCTTGTTTATAGCTGAGTATATTTACTAATTCATTATGGTAAAAGACACATCACCATTCAGTCCCACTAAAACGCTACCCCTTGCTTGAATACACTTGTCCCACCATTCTTGTCACTTTCACAAGCACTTCTGGAGGCCTTCTTTTGGGAGTGTCTTTAGTCCCCCTGTGGTGGCTGTCTGGATGCTCTGAATTGATTTGAAACATTTACCTTTCAAGTGAATTTTGACTTTGAGAAGAGCCAGAAGGCACTTGGAGCCAGATCTAATGAATAAGATGCAGGAGGATGCACTGGATGGCTTTTCCACGATGGCCTTTCCCTTGAGTACCACTTGTCTGCATCATCCACTGTATTTTTCATCATGCTATATGTGGTGAACACATTCGCGAAAGAGGACTTCCAGAACTTCCTCAGGATGTGGCAGGAAATATGGGTAAATGTGTTGGGATAAAGGGATGTAGTTTTTTTGGAGGTTGATGACAATGTACCTTTACTGTAGTACATTAAAAAAAAAAAAAACCCTAGAGGGCCGGCCAAATAGCTCAGCGGATTAAGCGATCCTTGGGCTTGTCTTGCTGGCCCACCCCTGGAGCACGCTGAGCTTACTCTGCCACTCGCTTCTCCTTTTGGTCCCGGACTTAATCAATTTTACCTGAGCAATGGTGCTTGCAATCCCATTGGTTGATCATACTTTTGTCCCACCCCACATCCACCTATGTAAGTTCACCCTTTCTCCACCCTAGCCCCATATGGTTTTACACTATAAAAGTTCCTGGAAGAGACAACTTCTGGGGGAACTACTCGCTGGGGTCCCGCTCCTGTCCCTCTCTGGGACAGGAGCTTTCTTCCCCTCAATAAAAATATTCTGCTCATAACCTCCGTTTGTTCCTAAAATTCATTCTTTGGTTTTAGAGAACATGAACTCGTCCAGGTCAGGTCGGGAGGTCACCCATCCGAGATCAGTTTTTCTCCCTACATCAGTATGAATTGACTTCTGACATTCCATACACATCAGTGTAGGCCTCAGATAAAAAAGCAGTTGTGTTTTCATATACTGTGGCAGAGTGTTTGGTGTGGTAATAACACATTTTAGAATAGTTTGTTAAGGGGGCTGGGAGCGCTTCCTTGGCAAGCACAAGGGTCTGAGTTTAATCCCCAGTTCCACAAAAAAAAAAAAAAAAAAAAAAAAAAAAAAAAAAAAGAAAAAAAAGAATAGGTTGTTAATTAGTTAGGAAACTATCACTATATTACCTTTCTTTTGTGTTTTGCTTCCCTCTGATGTAAAGAGAAAGACCAGCAGCACTAATTACTGCATGCTTTAAATCACCTAGTGTGGTTTTCTTTTTTAAAAATCTTCATCCCAGATTAATTACATCAGAATCTCCATGGGTAGATCCAGGACAAGGGAACACCTCCCCTCCCCCATTCTTGTTTCTAATATACAGCTAGGAACTAGAACCACTGGGATTAGAAGGAAGTATCAAAACAAGCACTTGCATTTAAATTTTAGGTAGTGTTGCTCTGTCATATTAAATAGCTTTTTCCAACCTATTCTGTCTAAAAATAAAAATGAGTAAAGCACTCATAACTTTCAAATCCTGTCAAAGATGGGGCATTTGCATATCTGGAGATGAGTTAATCAGTCTATAACATTTTGCATTTTATTAATGAAACCATTAATTATATTTTAAAATCTCATCTCCAAAAGTCATGAGAATATGCAGTGCTCTCTTGAGGATTTTTCCATTATTGAATGAATACATTATAAATTAGCAAATCCAGAGAGTATGCATGAACTGTAATTCACATCCTGTAAATTTCAGACTAAGCCAGAAGGCTCGTTTTTCTTCAGGATGTATCACCGCACTCTTCTTGCCTGCCATTATGAACTTAATTATAAAGAAGTGAAGTACTTTGAAGTCCTCAAGAATTGTACAAAGTGTTAGAGTAAACAACGAACCATCTAACTGCGCTCACACACAAAAAAATTAAGTTTAAAAGTTGCCATGGGAGACCAATATGTGTAAGTACACATTCAAAGAAAGAGAAAACAGTGAAGTACTTATAGAATGATGAGGCCAACTAGAAAAATGTTGTTTTAAATGGCTGATAAGCACTTGATGGTTACAGGATGAGAGACTATAATTTAAAAACATTATTTGATAGCTGCCCACCTGGTACTTCCTCCCGGAGAATGTAGTAGGCTGGAGAGTAAAAAGGTTGACAGTTTCCAACTTTTGTGTTTCCAAAAAGCTCAGTCCTATTGAAAATATTATGCAAATTACAACTTGAAGCAAGAAAAAATTTTACAGTAGAAAGTGCTTCTACTCTCAAAGCAAAGGGTAGGAGGAGTTCCAATTGGAAATAGCAAAACATTTTCCCAAGTGTGGAGGGGCTGGTGGTTTTGGGGAAACAGGGACTAGGCTAGGAAGCCCTGCTTCTGATACCACCCTAAAGAGGAGGACAAAGAGGAGACATTTGTAGAAATTTAGACAGGAGAAGGTCTACAGTTCTTTCAACTTCAGACTTAGAGAGCTTGGATGTGGAAAAGCTTGAGAGAGGGACATCTGCTCCCTGCATCTGGGCAGAAGAGGCAGAGACAGCCCTGCAGGGACAGTTCCAGGGGAGCTGAGAAGAGCAATACGCAGGGCGCAGACAGCATTTCTGAACCTGCAATGATGAGTGAGAGTTGTCCCAGCAATGCACGTGTGGGCTGATGGGCAGCTTAGTGAATATCTGCAAAATCATATGAATTGAGGAGAAAAGCATATACCTAGTCCCTGGAAGTATCGATGTAGAGCTCCAGAAAAGTGGAAATGGAGAACTTAAGCCAAAATCAGGCTTGCCACCACAGGGATGTGAAGCTAAGGATAGAAACTGAATTTTAGGAAAGTTAGGAAAATAACATTTGTGCATAGGTAACTTTGAGGAAGGAGAGTTGCAATACTATACGAGGCAATAGACAGGATCTATGAAAGTTAGGATGCTTTAGTAGCATTCATGTTCTTCTAAAGAGGTTAAAAATCTTCTAGCTGAAAAGGGCTTCGCTCTTATGGCATTCTAGCCTCTCATACCCATTCAAAGAGCTTCTTAAAAAGTTTTTTTCCCCCCTCATTTTCAAATCTTAGTCTTATTGTTTATTTTAGTTCAGCATGACTACTTGGATGGGAATAAAAACAGAAGGTAACATTTTCCTTGCAAGAGGGTGCCGACTTATAACATTTAAAAAATAATAATTTCACACATAGGTCTTGACAAATTTATAGATGCTGTAATTGATAGTGAAAAAAAATACTGGGGAAAT